GTCTCTTCTACCGACACATCCGTCATTCGAGCTTCGAGCTTATGGAGATGGTGAGGTGTTATTTGCTGTGTGATGGTCAATATGATTTCCTGTGTGACCTTTTTATTCATTATTCATGTAAATAAAGTGTATTGTCCTAAATCGATGGCTTTTTTACTCTAAATATTAGCCTCTGAACAACAATTTGTTTTCTCAGTATTAAACCTTATATTTTTCTCAGTACTCCACTTCTTAAAAACATTTTCAAGAAGGTTAAAAGTAGTGTCTATTTTTTTAGGGAGCCTGCTGGAATAGTTGCCATAATATCATCACCATAACAGGTAATATTCGTATCAGGTATATTTTCTTGCCATAATTTATTTGCTATGAGGCTCCAGAACAGGGAAGCACAACATGAACCCTGAGGACAGCCTTTCCTAATTTTTATAATGAAGATTAATTGTATTAGAATTGCCCAGAAAAATTAATTCTTTACTCTCCAGATAATTTTAAATTATATCAATTAGGTTTCTTGAGATGCCAGTTTCTTTTAATATAGACAGCAAGGAGAACCACTTAATACAGTCTAACGCCTCTCAGACATCGAAGAAAATCAGGACCACATGTTTACTTTGTCGCTTTTCTCAGACATTTTGAATCACACTATATAATGCTAGATCGGTAGACATATTCCTTCAAAAGGCATATTGGTTTGAATTGATGATATTATTTTTTGTTAAAAAATGCTCATTTTGTAATAAGTTTATCTGGAATTTTCGCATGGGTTTATGTCCACCTGTTGATTTAGGAACAAGAATATATTTTCCAAATATCAAGAAAAGTCCTTAAAACCTTACATTTGTTGTAAAGTAATATATAAAACGAGGGAAATTCCCCAAAGTGAATTCTAATTAAAAAGTAGTCCCGATTCCATCGAGTCTAGGAGCAGTGCCATCTCTGAGGCTAGAAATAGCATCAAATATCTCTTCATAAGTGAACGCCCGTTCTACCTCCCCGTCGTCTTTCATAAAAATATTTCGACAATCAGGATCATTAGCATAAGTCCAGCGTCACAGTGTCTTTAATCAACTTATAAAATTCTGTGGCAGACGTGGATACACTACAATTATCTTTATACAAAATAACTTTTCCGTTATTTTATTTGTAGCATATTTAGAAAACTTGTCATCATAAAACAAAATAACTTTTTCCTTTATTTTATTTGTAGCATATTTAGAAAACTTGTCATCATAAATCTCGTTTTTATTGAACAAATAATTTCGGAAGTCTCTTTTTGTCCTTTTAATCGCCTTTTCGAATGCAGGTAATACTCTTTCATAACTATTTTTCCTTTTATTAATCTTGTCTCCACGTCCAAACACTTTATCTGAGAACTTTTCGATGCAGCGTTTGTCTTTCGTCTTAAAATCTCTAATGGGTCCACCAGGTTGTCCTCTGATTCCCACTCTTTATTTTACGACTTAAAAACTTACCCATATTTATTTTGATCTTTTCTTCTACCCTGAGGACCACATTATTCAAACTGCCTCTATCTCTGACAGTCACGGATTCAGGTTGCATAATGTCTATTCTCAGCTTGTTGACAAATGTTTTCGGTCTAAATAAATTATAAGAATAAGAAAATTCATATAAATTATCAATTTGTACAGCATTTAAATCAACATAAATATATCTATAGTCACTCAGGGTAGGTTCATCCAAAATATTCATTTCTACAGAGTTAAAATATATGCCCAGTGAGCCCAATACCAAGTCTGTCCAACCAATTTCCACCGGGGAAAGTCGGAGGTGGCTCATGTTTATTGAAAAGTTTCAAATCGTGAATCATAATAAAATGATACACTAAAATACCTCTTTGTCCAGTGCCTTAGCACCTCAATTCAAATTCTTAGAATTAAAATCCTAATATTATAAAGTTAAAATTGTAAAATCTTAAAACATTTTCTAAAGCATATAAATATGTGTTCAAATCCTCCGCCGGTGAGAAATAAACCGAAATAATGCCAAAGTTCTTATGACCATTAGACGTGGAAACAGCCACAATACAATATTGTTCCACGTCGACCACAAATTCAATACAGCTCTTGTAACGCAATAATATCAGGTACTTATCTGACAATGGTATCAATTGCAGAGAGCCTACAAGCAGCGGCAGCACAGTGATTTAAATTAGAGTTTAAAATTTTCATAGATAAAAAGAGTTTGCAGGTAAAAAGAATATAAATATATATAAAATTATAAAATATGAGTTCACTACCTTGTTGCAAATAGTTTATACTAAAATTGGTATAAACAGCTAAAATGTTTCATAATTAAAATCACAATCTCTTAATTATATATAAAATCTAGAATAGTTGCTGGGCGCAAAAGATCGAAATGGAAGGTGAGGGAAAATTCTTCTTCTTATAAAAATTCATCAGAGTGAAGAAATGTAAATCATAAACAAGGACAATAAGTTAAAATGTCCGAGCCGACCAAAATAAAAAATATATATATAAATAAAGTTTACATATCAAGATGTTCTTTAATAAATCTAATTTCTTCCAAATACACAGGATATTCCTTAAAAACAGCATCATGCTCCTCATTATATTTAGTACTGAAACGTCGATTATATTCTTTGCAATTAATAGAGCGAATGAAATCAGAACACTTAGAATGCAGGTGATCCTCTGCACACGCCCCACAAACAGTTGTGTTTGCTCAAAAGTCTTCTATAAATACTTCGTCTCAAAGAAAATTAGAAACATTGGGAATAATAATCTTAGGTCGTATGAATTTTCTATGCTTTGGCTTTACAAGTTGATTAAGTTTTTCTTTATCAATAACAAACCTTTTCCAATTTTCTACATTTTTCTCTGTTCTTCAATTCAACTACCATATCCTTATTTTTTCTGAAAAACGAACTTATCCTTATCTGCAAGGTTATTTGCCCGAAAAAATCTTACAATACCAATTCCAATTGCTTTGGATCAATATTATTATTTACCTTATCATACACATCGATATCTTCTTTGAGGGGCGTGAAGATGATTTCTTCATTTCTCCAGGAATTTATTCTTCCTATACTTGGATCTTTCATTTGATGTTTCTTCACCTCATCCTCTATCTATTGTCGCTTTCTCATGATCTAACAAATCACGAATCTTACAAATTTTCTTCGGCAATAAAATCCAGTTTGTCTTCTTTATCTAGATACTTTTGCATTTCAAGCATGTTCCAAATTTTTTTGGGTAATCCATTCTGTGATCTTGTTAAGACCAAAACCCAAAGTTTCAATTAAACATTTAGAGACATAATTTCCTTTTAAAGCCTCTACCACATTGTTAATTTCACATATTATATAATAATAATATCATCTTTCGAACACACATGCGCAAATTCCTTTTCACACTCAATTGTAGTATTCTTAGATTCAGACATCTTATAAGGTCGGCAATGGGACAAATATAGCAATACAATTCATAAAAATAAAAATTTAAAGCCAAAATTTATTGCATAAAATTTTATAAAGAGTAAAACTAAATAAAATCTTTAAACGCAAATATGCATTGAAGTAGATACGGAGCAGTTCAGTTTTAAAAATACATGCAGATATGCTCCTACATAAAAAGCACAATAAAATTCAAAATGACATAAATGAAAATTCTTATACAACCATCAATAATCCGACAAAAATACTTATCTGGCTTTCTTCAGCTCCCAGAGGTACATCATAGCGAGCTCATTGTTGATCATCGAGGTAATTTGGCTCAAAGTTACGAGTATGGACGGTTTAACTTATAGTGCAGTGTTTATTGAAAGGGAAAACTTGGCAGAGTAAATGGATAATTAAGACACAATAATTTTTTTTGTTGTTTGACTTCTGAATTAGAGTAAATGGATGACAAGTACCGTACATACCCGCGTATAAGTCGATACCGCGTATAAGTCGACCCCCCACTTCGACATAAAAAATTCGTAGAAAATAAGAAACCCGCGTATAAGTCGACCCACTTCCGAATCGATCGAGAACTTCGAAAAAAATTTTAATACTACATTTCAAACCATCGAGAAAAAAAGTAAATATACGATAAAAAAACCTTGTATAAACAAATCAAAATCCTTCAAGTCCGATCATAGTCAGATTCGCCAACATTTCATAGAACTCTTCTGTCGTCATGGCTCTGTATGTTTACATCACTACTAGAGCCTTCGTCGTCATTTTCCTTTCAAACAGATATCTTCCATGCCGTCTAGTCGTTGCTAATACAACATTTTTTTAAATGATTTATAATCATTTCAGGGGTATTTCGTTCCAAGCATCTTTAACCCACTGAGCAAATTAATGTAATATCGGGCTTTTTAATGTTGCCTCCCTTTGTAAATGTTGGTCGACCGGAACTAATCCACTCTGCCCAATATTTTCTAACATTTACTTTGAAGGGTTTATTGAGGCAGACATCTAGGCGATTGAATGACGGATGTCAATCCTCCCAGAAATTACGGCAACAGTCGTTTTTAGGTGTTTTGTAACTTTTGTCACTTCTTCAGAAAAGTGTCCACGATAAGAATCGTACACTAAAAGAGAAGGTTTTTTGAAAGCTTCTCCCAGTCTTTTATCTCACACATTTTTAAGCCAATCGACTGTTCTGTCAGCATCCATCCATGGGCGCGAACAGCAACTTAATGCAAACACAACGTTTTCGGTAAAGTTTTTCTTTAAATTGTCACGACGAAGCTACTGCTTATAAGATTTATACGTCCGTAAAACTATCTGCATTTCTCTTTTCTTGGCGTTTGGCGAAACGTTTTTATTGCTCGATATTGATCGGTTGTTCGGGGGCCGAAAATTCTTTGTTTAATCGAAATACTCTAGTTAAAGTATGAAACTCTGTGATTAGTTCGTCACATATTTAAATCATGAATTACGTCAAGTAAGTGACTTATTGATAAGTCGTCCAATTGAGTGCGGGAAGAAAACAAGGCATTTATATAAAGAAATTTTGAACTTCCGATTCTTTTAATTTTTTATGGCCCCGCGATAAGTCGACCCCCCCACTTTGAAGTAATTTTTTTGTCCAAAATATCTGGACTTATACGCGGGTATATACGGTACTTGGTAACGTAAGGTGACGTAAAGGAATGTAGCACATCAAAAGATATTTATAACTAACAAAATTTAGGGATATTTATAACTAACAAAATGCAACATAGTACATTTGAGAACCATATTTTTATTTATTTAATTTTATTGTATCTTATTTTAGAGTTTCACAAAAATTATCATCGATATACCTAAGAATGTACTAAGGATGTACTGATGAAAAAATGTAGATCTTAAGAGATATATTATTCAAGGTAGCAAATGTAGCTTTTAAGAGTTAAATCATTTAAGATAGCAAACATATTTTTCACACATCTTCTCTGTAACGGTAAATTTTTCTGACATTAAAAATATTTTGGATTCATTGTATACTTCAGATACACGCATACAGAGAACGTAATTTTAACACGAATCTTACTTGTCACTTTATTGCTGAAGACCAATGATCTCAGCACCAACTACAGAGGGCTTGGAAAATAAGTTTAACCGCTAGCTAAAATGGTCTCTTTTTTTCAGTGCATCATGCGAGATGGGCTATGACTATTTTTTGCAGTGCCCCTATTGTGTTCAGGGGGCAAAGGGGAGAGAGAAACAGCTCTTGTAAGTGAAAATGTTTTAATGTTTTAAAAATTACAATTACAATTAAAAAAATTATGGATATTCCCAAAACGGAATCTATTAATACTGGACATCAAATAACTGGCATGTATACTGTTTCATTTTCAAATAAAAAGTTAAAAATGAAATGTTCTTTTCGTAGCGCTCAGACGGGAAAGTGGTTAGTGACTCTGACTGTCGCACCGAAGGGCCCGGATTCGAATCCCGGAAAAGGCATGGATGTAATTTTGTCGTTCCCTTGAGGAGAAAACGGTGGTCCCCCTATTTGGTTCCTCCACACTACTAAGGCCACCGCTTCCGGCCTTAGTAGTGGTCAATGCCTATTAAACAGTTGGAGCCCACCACAAATATCATTGTACAGGATTTCATAACGGCCTAGATTAAGCAATTAGAAGGGCCGCATTCGGGCCGAGGATCGACTTCGCCCATCCCTGAACAAGACGGAAGCTTCTGTGACAGAAAGTGCATAGCAGACCGCTTGTGTTCGCTACTTAATCTTTACTTGTCGAGCTCTCTGTAAACTACACAGCTCAATATCAAGATCTCAAAAAGAGGGGAAAATGTCGTATGCAGCTGGACGAAAAATATTCCTTATTAGAATGAACAATTAGAACCAAATAACAATTTAATTTCACCTGTCATTAGTGTGGTAGCTCTCACTTCTATCATCCTGTTGTTTCAAAGTGGATATATTACCCCTGGATTTACCTCTCAAAGTGGTTTGAATGAATGATGACTGAATCGAGCCATAGGCTTGCACACCTGTAATATATCCGAATATCCGTTCAAATAAGTATTTATTATGGAACTCAGGTTTTTGTCTTTCTAATTATAGTTCGTTTTTTTTTTTTGACTGCTTTCGTTGAGTGGAGGCAACTTGCTTGAAACATTTTGAAACCTGGTAACTGTAGCTGAAAACAAGCATTTATGTACGTCATTAGTCTTGAGATTCAATGTCTTAATAATACGGGCTTAGATAACAACTAAAACAATTCGGAGAGAATACGTAAATGATGGTTACCCTGTTTTATTTTCCATCAGAAATTTCGACTTAATTTTAATATTTTGAAAAAGATATCAAGCATATATTTTTAAAAAGATATGTTTTTATGAAGTTAATTTTAAATGATAGTCTATTTTATTTAATCTTGCGAAACAATTTTGGATTGGACAATTGCTAAGTACGGATGCTAGTTGCAGCTATAGCAACCACAAAGCGAAAGACAGGAAAATGTAGAAATTAGCATGAGTACGGGATATATTAAGACGTGTTGTGCACATGTAAAGTTTGGATTGCCGATGTTGTTCGTCAAGTGATGCGCTAATAACGGCGATAAAGGATTTGAAGCGTATTTACCTTTGCGGTTCAAAAGAAAAATTTAACGAGAAAGAATCAGTTGATGAATTTGTAATTTTTGGTATGTCTTCCCGACATTATTTAGATGATTTTATGCGTGGAATTATTATTGGCAACATTGAAGAAGGACGAAAACTAATAGATGTTGCTATGGAGTTCGACGTCAACCACAGTGTTCTTTCAAGGTTTTGGAAATCATTTCAAACAAATGGAATGTGTAGCAATGCGGGAATGTGACAAGTGAATCTTCCAAAAAACTGTGCCCAGACGTTCGCATCAAGGAGGACTATACGCCATTCTGTTGTATGCATTCCATTGCCCAGACAGCAACGTACCACTTGTTTGAAACGATATCGCGAGCATCGGAATTGGACTCAATAGAGCTTAGTTTGTGTACTGTTCTTAAATGAGAGCAGGTTAAGTCTGTTACCGAATTATACACGCCAAACTGCTCTGGTCTGAAAGTGATACTGGTTATCGTCTAGAAAATATTCAGGAAAGGTCCAGTATCTGAGATGCAGTATCATGATATGGAGCGGCACTATGAACAATGGCCGCACGCTTCTACGTGTGGTTGCAGCTACGACTTTGACTGGCCAGCGATACATTAATGATGTTCTGCTGCCTCATGTCGCGTGTTTCGTGAGCTGTCAGTGATAAATTTGTTTTCATGGACGGCAAGGCAAATTGTCATCGAACAGTCGTTGTCTAGGAGCGTCTAGAGAACAACGATATTCAGCGCCTCGTATGACCAGCACGTTCTCCAGATCTGAATCCCATTGAATATGTTTGGGTTGCTTTGAGGAGAGTTTTGCTGGTCGACAATGCCATCCAATAAACAAGGATACTCTCAAATATCTACAACAAAGGAATGGGATAAATTACCCCAACAGATGTTGGGTAATATTGTGCAAAGTATGACACGACGTGTGGAATCTTACACAATCTTACACTTAATACCTTTATGGTGATCATATCCCGAACTGACATCTTACGTCAGAATGCCTGCGGAAGGTAACTGCATTTTTTTCTTTTCTTGATTAAGCACAATATGACCATTTTGTCCCTTGAACGCTTTTCGAAGCCTTACAGATTTCAGAGCACAATAAGTTATCTTTATTGTTAAATCCTAGTTCTCTGGCATTATTTTATTTCACTTGGCATCCAAACACACTTACTTTTTAACGCGCTATATAGCTATTTGTGATCTGTCCTTAGCAATTTTCCAGCAGTGTATTACACTGGTGTGCAAAACTTAAGCAACAGGTGTTCTTTTTGCCATAACTCCACGAGAAATCTTCTGAGAGACATGAAATTCAGAAATGTGAGACAGCAGTTTGTATTTAAACGATGACAAAACCATGGGTGCACAAAATGAATACAATGCAAACAATATGGAAGCAAACAAAAAAGGCTTTATTAAATTCATAGTATCGTTACACATGACTGTCTGTACAAGAAGAAGAACAACAAGGAGATATTCCTTAGCATGGGATATGCCTTCCCAATATTGCAATGGTTGCTTCGCACCGTCTCTCCATACTCAGCACCAGACTGTCCAACAGATCTTGAGGTAAGAGTGCCTATTCCTCAATCACCATCTGTTTCAGTTGTTCGGTGTTCCCGGAGAATGTAACCTTGCCGCAAGCCATCTCCCCAAAGCATCCCACACATGTTCTATTGGATTTAAATCAGGGGAGTACGCTGGCCAATCCTTTCGAGTGATATCTTCACTTTTCGGTAGCTTCTGAAGAGCAGGAGTCCGGTGTAACCGTGCATTGTCATCCATAAAATCGGGCTGCTCCAATGGCACCACAGAACAGACGCGTATGGGGAAGGATCACCTCCTGACAATAGCGATATCCGGTTACAGAAACTCTGTCGTAAATAGGGAGCTCTGTGGGCCCGTTCAGCATAATGCCTTCCCAGACGAAACCTTCAGGACCACCGTAACAGTCTCTTTCCGTGATGTTACTGGAATGAAACCATTACTGGGATGAAACCGACCTCTCTCCAAATCAGCTGGCGTTGAGAATCGCTTGTGGCACTCATCCATAAAGAGGACACTACTGGATTGAAGAGATGCGCAGTTTTCGTGCTCCTTGCACCATTCTAAACGGTGTCGTCGATGGCCAACTTTCAAAGGGATGCAGCATAAAGGATGGCGGGCGAATAGGCTACCTTTGTGAAGGCGTCTGGACACAATAAACCGCGACACTTGTCGCCCCGTTGCTGTATACAGTTGTTGAGCTATGGCGCTTGCTGACTGGTTTTGGGCTCTTTTTACCTGCAGGACAATATATCGGTCATCCACTGCAGTTGTTTTCCTGGGACGGCCACCACCAACCTTTCTAACAGCTGTGCTTATGTTTTGGAAGGTTTTCCAAGCGCGCGAAACGACACTTCATCCCGAACTCTTCAGCTACACTGGTCACACAACGCTCATCCTCCAGCTTTCCCATCATTCTTCGAGGTGTAAAGTCATCCAGGTGATTTCTTCTAGCCATATTTCACGAAAGAACTCACTTACACTTGCAGTGAATGTCTTTAATTGCGTCTACTTCCTTCCTTTCATTGTAGACTTGAGTTGAGTCTGCCGACCGTACGCGTTTTGTGTATGCTCACGTAGCCTGTGACGTTTTTTTCCTGACATTTGCATACGTGTGAACTTTCTACTGAATTGCGTGTTCATTGTACTCATTGCAAGAACCTCTTTTCTGCAATTTCATGGCTATCTGATTAAAATTTATATTGTTGCTTAAGTTTTGCACACCAGTGTACAAGTTAGTTCTACAAATTAGAAATCATATTTACATTTGCTCTCTTTCCTTGCCGAGATCATCATAAGACATATCTCTTGGGTACAGAAATATCTTTCCTCTTCGAGATCTATTTTCCAAGCTGTGGTTTGATCTTTTATAATCCACTTGCACGTTTCGTTTCTCTCGCCTGTGACGTGGAAGATTTTCCTCAGCTATTTCCTCTCTGGAAATAACAATAAGTTTAATGCAGTGGTTTTCAACCTTTTGACTAACACGTGTCATCTAAACAAAAATTGAAAAACTTTAGTACCACCACTACATTTTACAATGATTATTTTTCATTTTCTCAATAGAAATATTAAGACAAATATACATTTTGAAATTTGCACAACCTATTAGCTGTTTGTAAAACTGTTAGATTAAAAATTGGTTACCATTTTAATTATCAAAATTTAAGTTACAATACTTAGATTCTAAAATTTAGTGCGAAATTTGGGTCTGTTTAAGGAAGATCAATTTCTTCATGTCTGGCTTTATTTCACTTAGATTTAACCGTAAATTAGGATCCACTTTTAATTTCGTTCTGTATTCATTTTTCAGATAAAACATGGAAGAAAATCCTTGCTTACACAAATAGGTTGTGCAAAAAGGCAATACAAATTTAATAGCTTTATTTGAGATGCCTTTATATTCTTTTTTTCGGTTCAGCCAAAAGTGAAAAAGTGTGTTATTTTTGAAATCTTCAGAAATTCGATCACAGGAAATTTCTATCCATTGTTCTTTTAATTCACGAGATTTTTGAACATAATAGTTAAAAATACTTCTTTGCGTACCACCAGTGGTACGCGTACCACTGATTGAGAATCGCTGGTTTAATGCATAAGTTGCATTCATGTTTTGATACATGAACATGCATAATGGTAAAAAAAACAGGCTAAATGTATTATGTAAACAACGCATACTGGAGTAATTAAGTATCATACATATAAGCGATCATTAGAATCGCGGAAGAAAATGGCATTCCAAAGCTCTAACAGTCTTAATAATAATTTTGTATACAGTGTGCTCAGAAAATACCTGGAAAAAATATAAAGGCAGATAGAGAAGACCGAAGCAAGTAGATTTTGTAATGGAATATTAGTGCCAAAATGACGCGTTGGGGGGGGGTAACAGTGTGCTGCTGAGCCGAAGATAAAAGTATTCAGTTGACTTGAAATGGCATTTCGGGTTTTTAAGCAGTTTACATCACGACACGAATGAGAAGTTCGCCGACATGAATTTTATCTCACTGCATAATCTTTTGTCACGTTTCTGTGGCGTTGCTACTCAAAAGATCCAGATGGTTCGAAGGCTGGTGTTAAATGAACAAAATGCTATGCGGCGGTTTTTCATATAAATCTAATCCTATAAGTTAAAGTTGAGTTATTTTTTATTTGCGGAGGTATCTAAATACGAGAATTAGAAGAAAAATATAGTGGCATACATGTAGCATAAACAAACTCTATTGAAGCTAAATGCAATATTCCATTACTCCTTCAGTACAATTAATTATGAACGATGTTCTACATCTTTTGCCAAATCTGTGGAAGAGATGTTGAGGGCCGTTGGTAAGATGGTTTCTGTTGGTTACAATTATGGAGCATATTACTTCACGAACTGCTAATAGAATATAGAAGAAATTAAACTGTACCACAATGTTTGATTATTAAACCCAAAGTTTACAGCTAATGCTCGGGCGGTAAAAAGAAAGAAGAATTTCATTTTAATACTACTAGCTTATCAGGAATGGATGGGAAATCTGTGCAAATAAAATATCATGACCAGGCCTATATGAACGAAATGGACCTCTGAGAGAGCAGCCCATCCTTAACACAGACAACTAAATCTTTAAGGAAGATAAAATTCCCTTCATATTTCTGCCGCGGACCACCTGGATTTTTATCATGATTAAGGGCAGTGCACAATACAGTTTTTAGTTAAGTTACGTATAACAACATCTCTAGCTCTAGTGATTGCTTTCAGAATTATAGGCCTTAAGGCTGAGTCAATCTAATACTGCTCATGACATGTTAGTACATGCACATGTGCATGATCTCTTTCAAACAAAATTTTTATTTCTTTATTTACAACCCATGTAAATTTCCTGGAGATGTATCAGTTACAGGAAGCATGCCTGTTATCGGTATTCATGACAGGGCATTTAAGTACATTTACATGAACATATAAAGAAATAATAAGTTTAACCTTACTCAGCAACATCGCCAAAACTGACGGCGTATTGATCTTCTGAAATATTTTGTTGCTCCATTTCCGGAGTTTCTGAATTAGCTCCACCACGGGAAGTTATTTCTAAACTCACAGTGGAGGGTGTTTCTGTAATAGTAGAACGTAATTTAGAGTCTGGCTGGTAGACTATTAGAAGGGATTCTTCTGTTTCCATTTCTCTAACTAAGTTAGTGTCTCTGTTTCGGAATTTAGAATGCCTATTAGGTCTGGTTACAGCAAACAAATAAACAGGAGATGCCTCTGGTAATAAAAATAGGAGGACTGATAGCAGTTTTAATATCTGAAAGCAGGAAAAAAAGGTATGCAATCAGTTTAATATTTCACAGTTTAATTTAAAACGTAAAGGCATAAATATTATATAAGTAAATAATAGTAAATTCCATTTCTTATTCTTATACTATACAACTACGAGCAGCTCAACCTTGACTGGTACTAAGCGAAAACATTTAGATAAGTTCAATAGGGATGTCGAACAGAAAGCACGAATCTAAAGGTATTACTCAATATAATTATATAATTAGGTAAGGTTTTATTTTTCTAAGAGATAAAATATTTGGGTTTATTTCTTACATTTTACAGCTTTCTCCGAAAAATAAAGTAAATTACTATGTGAAATAAAAGTGAAAATAAAAGCACAAAATCACCTTGCCTCAGGAATGACATGACTGCCCGATTCGATACCCACATTAGTCACAGTCAAGCGAAGGCAGTAGCTTCCAACAGTTTTAACTGTCTGAAGTATAATCAAACTGCTTACGGAAATTCCGCTATCATTAGTGTGCAAGAAACTAAACAAATAAACTTTGAACGAAGTCATCGGGAAAAAGTTTAATTTTATGTTTTCATGAATGAACGTGATCTTTTTACTGCCCCCCTTATTATGAGAAAATGAAAAAAAATTATATTCTTTGATGTAAATAAGGGCCCACCAGGGGCCGAGCGGTAACGTAACTGAACACTGGTAGTTCGGTCCGAGGTTCGAATCCCGCGAACGGGCTGGCTGCATGGGTGTTTTCGTGGTTTTCCCCATGTGTAATGTGTATACGAGCCAGTTTTCCTTAAAAAGTCTTACACGAGGGCATCCCTCTCTTAAGGCAGATAGCCCTCGAGTGCTTTGCCGTAATCTAATAAACCAAACCAAATTGATGTAAATAAACTTTAATGTCTGAGACTTTAGAATTTTACTGAAAACGCTGCTGTGTTAAAAAAAAAGCTAAAATAGGAGGAATTTTAAGGTTTTTAGTTCAGTTAATTGTTGAAGTTCAGTTAATTGTTTTAGCATTGAATTTTACCATTGTTTTAGCATTGAATAGACTTAGGAATTTCTTAGAAGTGTGTCAAATTTTCAAACTGTAGTGAATATAGGGTAAGGGGGAATGTAGGGTATATCCATGGGGCCAGTTCCTTCATTGAGCCACCTCCAATATTTTCTAGTTATTGACAGTAGACGCTACTTGTTGACGGTTAAGTATACTACATGAATCTTGAAATCCTCCATCTTGACTGAGAGAAGATCCACGCTCGAATAAAATTGCTTTACAAGAAAGAAAGATTTTGTAACTTTTTTCTAATTCATCAATGTAAAGAAAATATAGATATCAGTAAGACATTAATAGTGTTCTAGTTGTTACTGATACCACTTAAACCTGTGTTAAATCAGCGTTATTTGGCTATGTTATGGTTGTTTACTTTGTTATAACTAGAATCACGGACGTATTACATACTGACTGCTAGTTGCCTTCAATGAGCCAGTCTTCGTTTCCATGAATGGGCTAGTGGTCCAACAATGGAAACCCTATCGAGGCTAATATTTTGTAACTTTTTCAAGTTGAAGAATAAAATTTCACTGTATCTGATTTAGTAAAAATCTATAATTAGATAATGATATAATTTTCTTTGTTATAAAAATACTTATAAGATATTAATGTAATTTTAATCTAAACTGGAGTGTTCCTAATTCGTGTGTAAAATGAATATTTTATTGAAATTATTTAAAATTATATCTGTATAATAAATAGTTTAAGAAACATTAAGGAACAAGTTTTTACGACAGAGACGGAGAGAAATAAAATTAGGAGTTGTCACCCAGTTCTTATTTAGGAAGATTGTTTAGGAAAGCATGTGGACAAACAGCAACAGTAGGGATGAAAATAAATGTTCTGCTAAAACAGGAGTTTGACCAGTGAACAGAGATGTATTTCAAAACTCTCTTTTTGTTGCAACAGTGCACTTTGAGACAAGTGATGTTCCTGTTGTAGGAGTTCCTGACATAAGCCTAACTGCATCTTCTAATGGACTGTCACATGACATGCAGTCTCTAGGAAGAAAATCTGTTGCAACGACCGGCGGAACAGAACTACTTCCAGTCGGTGCATCAACATTGTTGTCAAGACTTAAAGTTTCTTTGAGTGAGATCGCTCCGATTCCATCTAAATTCTCAGTTGGAAAAGGCTCAAACAAAGCTCAAAAACCAATACTGGTAACAAGTAGTCCATACAAACAGATCCTTTAATAATTATTTTATGCTATTTGAAAGCTTACAAGTTATGGTGATTGTTAATTTTATACTAGATTACCCTCAAAATCTCATTTTCATTAAATTGTTTCTAATAAACGAAATTCAACGTTATTTGGTAGACTCTCACATTAGTCCCATTTGATGATTATAAAGACTAATCTAAAATCTAACTCTTGATTCCTTGTGAATAATGCGAACCTATCAATACGTTTCAATGTATTTTCAGTGATCTGTGTTGGTTTCTAACCAGCATTTTAAATTTACGAATCATGCTCAAAATAGTTTCAAACATTTTATAGACTTATATTAATATAATATTGCATTAAAAAGAAATAAACTACCGGCCATTCTTAGAAACTTTCCGGTTCAATGAAGGCAACAGAGTTCTTTCACTGGACCAGTGGCACCTATTTTTATTTTTATAATATTTACTGAACAGTTTATAATTATAACGTCTGTTCCTAGATATGGGTAGTACGGAAAGTTAATATTTACATTAACATGTAAAATCTGTAAAACTACCGAATTTGATGATTTTAAGGATCATTTTGTAAAAGTGGCCCATCGATAGCAATTTTCCCCTACAATGCTTAATAATGATGCAGCTTAGTTATCACTATTATAGAAGTCAAACAAAATTTTTTTTCAATACTTTTTTTTTAATCTTACGATTTAATAAAAGAAAATAATGCTCTGAACTGCATGAGGATACGCTTAAAGTAATATAATCATTAGTTTTGGTTAACGCTGTCGTGATCACATAATGTTCATATTAGCTCTAGCGGAATTTGCGAGTTCGATTAAAAATAATCCAAAACCAAATTTTTCGAACGGTGGAGAAAAGATATACATTTTAAGAAAAATGTGACTTATTAAAAATAAACGAATATATGTAACCTCTTAACAAAAATGAATCTAAATTAAGAATTTACTGCTCGTTTTAGTATACAGCATGGAGGAGAGGAATTTTATTTCTCTCTAAAATTTGAAATAATTGATGAAAAATCAAGCAAATAAAAACTCGAAAAAGAGTACACCACAAAATCGAAAAAATGAATTTGTTATTGGCTAATATAATGTTATGCATGTGCCCCATATTTTGGAATATGGGCGCTTAATGGAAAAGTACAGTGTGTGTGTGTGTGTGTGTTTGTGCTTGACGGAAAAGTACGTTTTGTCGGGGGGGGGAGGAATCTTTAAACTATCCTTATAATTAAAGTTATTCACGCGTAAAAACTCGTCAAATTGCGTGACAAGCGCATTACAAAAAAGTACCGCAAATAATAATAAAAAGAAGCCTTTTATAAGAAGCAAAAAATTTTATGATAAAAACAAAATTCTGTTTGGCCAACATTTACATCTTTACAGACAGTGGATACTGCTCGGTTGAATTTAAAGTGGGTAAATCCACTTTTACACAAATAGGTGTGTGTAACGTGCAGACATGCATACGTGTTGCGTTCCCGTGCATACTTACGTGTGTGTTATGTGAAGCGAGAACACAGTCGCCAAGCCCTGATGGTGACGAATTGGCGTCTGCCATATTTTAATTCAATCGCCACTGTAGAGTTTACAAGAGTTTTAAAGCAAGAAACATGAAAAATGAACAATGCCATTGTCAGAATTCGACCATCAGACTTCCTGAGTTGTTAGACGGACGCGTCTTCGTATCGCACCACGAGAGCTCGCGGTAAAAAGAGAGAATATACCTTATATTCTCCCCCAGTTAAAGGAAGACTACGGTGGTGGGAACACAATCTCCGAAACCTGGTGGTAACGAATTATCGACCACCATAGTTTATCTCGGGTGCCACTTGAGAGTAATTAGATATTTGTCGGAGCATAAAACAAAACCATTATGAATTTGTTATTGGCTAATATAGTAGGTGTAAGTAATCATGTTCAAATTTTAAAAGACTGCGTAGCATAAAATCTTTACTAAAATAGCTTCATTTGTGTGGGTATTTTGAAGGTAATACGATTTTGTTTATAGAGGGGAAGAAACTAGTTTCCATGTGGGAATTATATAGCTTTCTGCAGTGGTACGCGTTCCTTTTTCGAAATATCTGAATTTTGCACATGCTTGAAGAGAATTTTATGCGCACACGTACACAAACAAAGAGACATACTCACAAACGCAGAAAAGGAAAATAAAACTGAAGTAGCAAAAGCAGAAATGTATTCAGTGTATTTCTTACTATGAGAATTTAGATTTTCAATAGTTATAATCTTGTTGCCATGAGATCAGGCGTTTCCTGCAAAGCTATTTTATCAGAGTGACAATGTGCATTAAGAGTTCTGAGGTAGCTCGGACTACTAATGCACTTAAAAAACCTGCCAGATGTCTGAAAATAGTTTGCTTAAAAGAATATTAAAAGTTGAAATGACGTGAAGTACTCGACAATCAACATATATAAGATGCGATCCACTGCTAGTCCAAACTCCAGGGTGCGGGTTTGCTTTCTGTGCCAGAGTTGATTGTTGGTGGGTGCCCTTCCATTACTCTCAAGGAATATCGATCTTAATTCTTCTGTTTGTGGGTTATCCCACCCGATCGACAGTAACCTCAGATCAGGTCTCTGATATCAGAGCAAGCTCACGAAATTCATAGCGCCAAGGGGTCAAGATCGCGCATGTCGCTGTCAAGAGCATGGAGCACCATACAGGTGACAGTACAACTTTGCTCAGTTCCGTCCCCAATTTTGAAGGAGGGCAGCCTTCTGGCTTACTGCATATTTAGAGTGCCTACATGCCGCACAGACATTATAAACATCCATGCCTTCTTCGGGATTCGAAACCTGCCCCTGTCTGTTTCGGCTAATTATTCAAAATTAATATATGGTTTTGAAAGCGTCACACCTACTAACAAATGCTTGATATGTAAGAAGTTACACTTTACTTCCAATCTTCCTACTGGCTAAGAGCTGATTTGGGCGAAAGCTCCGCCTTATCATATCACCTCTCCATGTCTCTATCTTGTTTCTGACAATTTTGGAGCCTGAAACTCAACGCTGCTCGCTCGCTCTGATGTAGCACCACGACTTTCTTACGAGTAATACCTCTACTAACCGTTAACTGCTTATGTTCTCCATCTTTCCTTACCATCTTCATCTGAACAGTAGTTCTCCCTATTGTTATACGTCTACAGTTTAGACAGACTTAACTCGAAATCCGAAAGACTTTCTACGCCGCACAAGATTAGGCTTAGCCTCTTCTCCGTTATCCCTCTCCTATATTAGCCAAAAGAATGTTATGGCATTTTACTCAAAAGTCGCTAAACGTAGGATAGGGTTCACGCACAAATGCCTGGCTTCCGTGAAGACGTCACCCAAGTCTTCAGAAGCAGAAGAATAATCAGTTCCCATTTTGCAACAACGTGGATAGCACATTAACGTAAAGAGCCACATTGTCAGAAAATGAGAGGTGATTATTATTCCATTTCTAAAGATGATGTGACTTCCATTTCTAAAACCTGCTTAATGAAATTGCAAAGATCTCGTTCTGTACCATATAATTTCATTAACGTCTTCACATTCACGACATAAATTTATGAAAGTTACACAATGTGCAGGAACATAACTCACCTAGCAAAATATGCACTCACGGTTTTATAGTATATTATTAAATTAATTCGTCAATTTGTAAGGTACATTCACCATCTTTGGGACTCTACCTTACATTTTGGATACAGGCAATTACAAATTGGGTACACCATCTTTGGGATATAAATGGAAGTAGGTCCTCTAGCGGTAGGGAAGTTCAGAATTAGAATTCATGCCAGAAGCATCGCAGATTTTGTTTTCTGCTCCGACAAATATCTAATTACTCTAAAGTGGCACCCGAGATAACCTATGGTGGTCGATAATTCGTTACCACCGGGTTTCGGCGACTGTGTTTCCGCCACCGTAGTCATCCTTTAACTGAGGGAGAATATAAGGTATATTCTCTCTTTTTACCGCGAGCTCTCGTGGTGCGATACGAAGACGCGTCCGTCTAACAACTCAGGAAGTCTGATGGTCGAATTCTGACAATGGCATTGTTCATTTTTCATGTTTCTTGCTTTAAAACTCTTGTAAACTCTACAGTGGCGATTGAATTAAAATATGGCAGACGCCAATTCGTCCCCATCAGGGCTTGGTGACTGTGTTCTCGCCTCACATAACATACACGTAAGTATGCACGGAAACGTAACACATATGCATGCCTGCACGTTACATACACCTGTTTGTGTAAAAGTGAATTTACCCACTTTATGTTCAACCGAGCAGTATCCACTGTCTGTAAAGATGTAAATGATGGCCAAACAGAATTTTGTTTTTATCATAAAATTTTTTGCTTCTTATAAAAGGCTTCTTTTTATTATTATTTGCGGTACTTTTTTGTAATGCGCTTGTCACGCATTTTGGCGAGTTTTTACGCGTGAATAACTTTAATTATAAGGATAGTTTAAAGATTCCTCCCCCCCCGACAAAACGTACTTTTCCGTCAAGCACAAACACACACATACTGTACTTTTCCATTAAGCGCCCATATTCCAAAATGTGTGGCAGATGCATAACAGAAAGTACCTTATTTACGAACAGAAAAATATTCTGAAGCGTAATGATAACCAAGCAAGCGATTTCTCCAATTTATAAAGTTGACAATAGTTGGTAACTTTTCGTGAAGGTGCGGATAGCCAGAAACTATCGAATATGCTTTATGATATTTTAGTAAAGTTAAGAAGAAACAAACTAAATATTTCTCCACTTCATTTATACCCAACTATGTAGATGTTAAGTTTGCTTTTAAATCTGTGTTGCCATCCTGATCGGTATAGTGGTTAGTGTTGGCTGCTGTATTGTTCGTCCGGGTTTCAAATCTAGAGGATGGCTTGGATATTTGTAAATATATATCGTGTTTGTGTAGCATAGAAGCACGTAAATATAAGACTACTAAAAATCCTCTCGAATGGCTTATTGGTAGAGAAAGAAGGGAAGAAATTAGGCAAAGTGGTCCTGTCATCTGTAGGATACTCAAAGCTCATGTCAACATGAGACATAACTTTGTGCCCTTCTTCTGATGACACTGTTAGACAAGTGAGATAAGTCACAACAACAATCTGTTTCTACTAAAACCAGTCTATGTACAGGAAACTAAAACTTATTTTAATTACCTACAATGAATGTTTTTATTCATTCAATTTCCTTTAAAAGTTTACTATACATAATTCAGTATTTTAGTTTTCTATTATTGTGATAATTGACTAAAATATACAGCGGTATAAAATTAATTGGTGTTCTCTTAAACTTCGAATAACGAAAACTAAACGAAAAAATGGATTTAATAAATTGGTATAACCACATATTATTTAGTGAAGAAAAGTTGTAAACTTCTAACAGAAACTTCATTCATTTCAAAAATTAAACTTTCAAATGTGTCTTACTTCTTTTAGATGAAATAAGGGGATACGTTTATTATTGCAAAAGGCATACATTTAAAATAATCTGAAAGATAATAAAATCTTACTCTATTGTGTTCCGATTTCATTCTCAGACATGCTGTTGATCTTCTGTCCTTTTCTTTGGGCCGAAAGGTTTGCTTGAACTTTTATTTTCCCATTTGTTTTGCAAATCATCGCAATTAATATTTGCTCTGAAATTTATAGATTCAATTTGAAGAACATAATAGGAAAGACAAACAAGATACAAGGAGGATATTACCGCAATCTGGATTCTTGTAAAATTTTAAGTGCTCGTAATATTTTAGCAGATATTGTAGAACACCTTTGAGGATAGAAATATCATGCTAGTCGAATTTCTAATAACCATATAGAAGAATTAACTTAAGAGAGACGTAAGCGATGTCTCATATATATATGTAATGATTTCAGTTATTCCACCACATCGTGGGTGAATGGTGAGGCTATTCCATTTCACGTTTTGGCAGATGGTTTTTTCCAGATGAAGTTACTCAAATAACTTATCCAGTAATTGAATTATTAGATACGACTGTAATAAGTTATAACGTTCTAACAAAGAAAGAGGAGCATAGCGGAGGCGTTAGCAGAACGAAGGCGAGAAGGCATCTGTGTAGGAGAACTTATGACGCAGCATTTATATGAGGTTATGTAATAGGCGCGAATGTTCTAGAAGATACTGGTCTAGGGGAAGATTCTGAATTGCAGAAAATTAATTAAAGGTTGCTGGTTCGCAAAGAGCAAAGCTATCGTATTTTTTTTTTATATTTTACATCTAAGATATAACAAAATATGATAGCTGTTTAAAAAAAAAATAATTGACGACCTCAAAATTAACATTCTAAATTTGGTAATCTGCCCCTAAATTCATCTTTTCTCACAGGTTCCAGACTTTTCTATCTTATGTAACGTTTTAATGCAGATGCCTCTTATCCAATCAAATTAATTGTAAACCAGAACTGTGAACTGAAACTTTTCCGACTCCCACCATTCTTCCTCTGAAGTTCTATGATACTCTGCCCTTTTTCGCATAGCTATCCTGCTGGCAAGACGGTTTTAAACCATGCTGCTGCTTACTTACTTAAGATGACGTTCTAATTCAAACTGAAATTTATGTATTCAAATATAATTAGGAAACATCTTGTCTGAAAAAGGATGATTTGATTTCTCGGTCATCTACGCAGTATCGTAAGCTGTTGGGAGGTCCACTGCTTTCATCTACGCATTTGGAATCATTACACACATATATATATATATATGTATATAAAGTCTCTTATAATAATTTCGGCACTCTTCTGTTATAGGGACCGGACTGAGAAATGTGTGCATGTGTGCACATGTGTATGTACGTGCATATATGTGTGCGTGTATACACACACATATATATATACGTGCGTACATATATACATACATACATGTGCGCATACATACCTGTATTATATACATATACATGCGTACATATATACATACATACATGTGCGCATACATACCTGTATTATATACATACATACATACATGTATATATACATATCTGATACAGAAACGGGTATATACATATACATCCGTTTCTGATAACAGAAGAATATCACAATTTCTTTAAAATTCAATCATCTGCAGCTCAAGCGCAGGATTATTTAGCTAATTTTAATTAATTTTTTCTTTACCTGATATAGATATATATATGTGTGTGTGTGATGCACTAGCTTTTGTCCGGAATAAATAGATTGGTGAAGAAAAATAGATGTAGTCGTAGCTTAAATTATCAGACGATAAGTTTAAAAAACAGGATCCATTTATTATTGGTCAGAAGAAATAGCAGTTACAAAAATCATATTTCCGGAGTAAATAAAAAAGAATTACTAATAACTTTTTGTGTGAAGTTTACTGCATCGTTACATTAAAGAAAAGACGCCGATATTCCTTTTATAGCCTCTGGAAAGGCGGAGCTTCCAAGAAATGACGTCAGCCTCGTCAGCCATTCCAATTCGCTTTAAATATCTCCAGAACATTCAATAACTGTACGTGTAGAAAAGGCGGGAAAAACAACTTGACTACGGGGCTGTGAATTTAAATCCACGTACTTTCAAATAAGAGACCGTCGCCATTAAAAATGAAAAGAACATACAGTTAGAATTTTAAGTGTATTTTTGACTATGGAATTTTATTATTACAATATATATATATATATATATATGTATACACACATATATATATATACTATATACTATATTGCTAAATCCTTGCTCAACAAAATCCTCGCTCACCGAAAACTCAATGAAATATAACGACATTTGACACGCGTATACCAAAAATTTAGTTATGGATCCTTTCTGCATGCCTTCGTGGTGTAACGTTAGCACACTCGGCGCGTATTCGAGATATCCAGGTGACGAGGGTATTGCACAAATTTCAACTCTCCCTCTTCAAAAATCCTAATATCATTAAAAACAAAATAAAAATTTAAATAATTAAACAGTTTGTTCATTGATTTAGATATCTCTCGGTTTCTGAAACAACTGTAGAAAATTTGAAGGACAAATTACAATTGTTAACATTTTGCCGATTGACATTATCTGAAAGCTGACGAAAGGTAAGGAAGGTAAATAAACATCTTATATTTCGCGTAGTGGAAACAACAGCCTAGGCTAGTATATGGTATGTCCATAGCAGGATAATGTAATGTAAGATGACATAAAGGTCCAAAAATGTTAGAAAGACTCCCTTAAGGACATCAGGAAACGTCGATTTTTCGATTTCAGCATAATTACTGTTGATTTAGTGCACAGAAGAGAAAGTGAAAGAACCCATTTGGTGATCAGAGAGAGAGAGAGCCCATTTGTGAGCAATAAACAAACTATTCGAACATCGCACTTATGAATATATGATGACAAAAATTTCTTTCTTTCATCTGTTTTGTTGGTACTAATTAAAATTTAAAATTAACAATTTTTCTTTACTCGCATTTCCAGTTTTTACTAGCAATATGAGGCTATTGGCTATGTATTTGATAACACAAATATAAAACTTTACTTCCTAGTAAGAGCGAGAGAGAGAATATCTAATGTGCTGGAGTGCTATAAGACCATTAGTGGCACAGATCAGATGTCACGAGCTCTTAAAAACTCTTAACTGATTCTATTCAAATTCTATAAGACAATCAATAATGGTCATTAGCAGGCCTTCGTTCATCATTAAATACTGACTGCTTGTAATTACCTTTTAGATAAAAAAAAAATACTTGTATCAACAAATGATAAGCGTTCATAGATTAATTCATCATTATTAAGTCGTAAAATGTAGATTGTTCAAAATTTAATTAAATGCAAGAGAAAACTAACTTGTTTTACATTGCAAAATATTTATTAAAAAAATTGTTTGAACATCGCATATTTTCAAAATATTTAGAATGAGCTTAAGTTATTTTTGAATAAGAAAGAAAGCTAAAAAAATAAAAATTTTGTAAAATAATGTAAAAGCATAATGATACATCAAATGCATAAAAGTAATAATTTAAGTAAACAATGGAGTGAGCATGATTAATTCATAGTATTACTTATAAAAATTGTAGCTTATGGTTTTAAGTATAATTTTGATAGCATTTTAAGCGCAAATTGATAGTATTCTTATAAATGAACATAAAATTAATGGAATATTAAGCTTGAAATTGATTTCTAAGACTATCTGCTTGCACTTGAAATATTCAAAAATCTCGCTCTACATAAAGCTAGCACAGTTTTCATGAATCGTTATTTCATAGGTGTTATTTATTATTTAGAATTATTAGTCCGAAGTATTTTTGCTCAAATACATCTTACTTTAATCATTATACAGAAGTAATTAACAATTTTCAGCATCATAAATGATTTATTTTTAATTATGATTTATTTTGAGTATACTGAATATCTTTCAAAGTTTTAGATAAGTATTTTCATTAATAGCAAATCTTAAATTATTTTTACATGCACAGCTATTTATCTAAGTAACATATCAAAAGCGTTTGAATAAAAAAACATAATATAATGCCTACCTGAAACTGCGTAATATATTCTGTAGAGGTTATTTTAAATATCTATTAAATTAGGATACTATTAAAGCAGCTGATAAAATCTTCTCAATATTTTGAACGAGTCAGAAAATGAGCAAGTGTTGCCAAATTATAGTATATAAAAAAACTAAAAGGAAAATGAAATAATTTCTGAAGCTATTATTTCTGTGGGAAAGCGCAGATCTACTATGTTTGGTTATTATTTACATTTGATGAAGGAAAGACATGCTGATTAAAATTAATGTAATTGTTTGAGTAATTCCACCTACAACTCAACTCTGTTTAAGATTTTTACGTTTTAAAAATAAGCTCTATCGTTTCTGTAAGAATAACTGCTTTGTAAATATCTGCAATTAAAGTGTTTTTTCATATTAAATACATAGTTATTTTCGAATCCTTTAAAATACTGGCGTCCATGCAGCAGGACTATGGATAATTTAAAACGGGAAAGAACACAATTACGGAGATATTTCATTACTTCTTTGAAAGAAGTGGACACTGTTCTAAAAGATGAAGCAGTAAGTAAGATTGATTTGATATCTGTATTTAATATATTTAATGATAAAGCTGACAGATTATTTCAGTTAGATGAAAAAGTTAAAGTAAAATGGCTAGAAATGGAAAATTTTAATGAAGATGAATTTTCTAATGATATGGATTTAACAGAAAGTTATCGAAATCAGTGGGTTGCTATGAAAACGAAAGTTGATTTAATGTTATCAACCACTGAAAGAAAGGGCGATATTTCCAGTGTAGTAAATGGAACCAAGCGAAATTTCCGTCTTCCTAAATTAGAATTGAAACGTTTTGATGGTAATATTAAAAACTGGCTAGTATTCTGGGGACAATTTAAAAAGATTCATGATGATGATAGCACTGATGCAGATGATAAATTTCAGTATCTTTTACAAGCAACTGAAGAAGGTTCATTGGCTAGAGATTTAGTTGCAAGTTTTCCACCATTTGGCGAAAACTATTATAATGCTATTGAACAGCTGAAATCTCGTTTTGCTAAAGATGAACTATTAATTCAAATTTATGTTCGTGAACTTTTAAATCTAGTTTTAACACAAGCGAAAAGTGGCGAAATTTTTACTTTGCGGATTCTTTATGATAAATTGGAGACTCAGCTGCGAGCATTAGAGACTTTAGGGGTAACGCTGAAAAATATGAAGCAATGTTATATCCTTTAGTATAGAATCTGCTCTGCAGAAGTTCTTATCAAGGAGTGGGAACGCACACATAACCGTGTAGAAAATAAAGACAAGATGAACATGTTAGGAAATTTATTAGAATTTCTTCGTTTGAAAGTCGAAAGTGAAGAGCGGTTACAATTTGCTCGATCAGGGTTTGCGAATGATCAATTTGAAAAATTGAAAACGAAAGAAAAAATTCCCACTGCAGCTTGTATTGTATCTAATGAAAAGCAAAGAGCTGAGAAAAATTGCAAACATTGTATATTTTTTAATAAGTCGTTTCATAATACCTCAGTGTTTTAAAGCTGCCGAGATATCATTGGAGCGAAAAGGAAAACCTTGGAGAAAATGGGAGCTTGTTTCGTCTGTTTAAAACCAGGACGCAATTCTAAGATCTGCAAAGCTTATAAAGTGTATTATATGCAAGAAAAAACACCATAGCATTATGTGTCCAAATATAAATCAATCAAAACAAGCCAAACAATCTGAATCGGATGCACAGGTTTTTTTTGTCACCAAAAAATTCTCCAACGTTATTGTTAACTGTATTGGTAAAAATCATCAATGATGACAAGTCCGGAATCGTTCTCGGATTATTTAATGCTGTTGCTCAGAGATCTTTCATACGAAAAGATATTGCGGAGAAACTAGGATTGAAACCTGTAGATCAAGAAAGGATGAGTAATGGACTTTTGGGGGGCAGTGAAACTAAACAAGAGTCCCATAATGTCTACAGTATTACATTACAAAGCTTTTGTTCAAACATCAAGTACACTATTTCAGTTTTGGACGGAAAGAAGATATGTGGTGCAATTACTCCCCGTGTAGAGGATCCTGATATCTATCCAATTTTGAAAAAGAAAAATATACGTTTAAGTGATATCGGAGAATATGTGCCTGAAATAGGTTTATTAATAGGAGCGGATTATCTTGGCGCATTATTGACTGGGAGAATTGAGCCCATTGATAATAATTGGTAGCTATTAAAACAGAACTTGGATGGGCGCTTCAAGATAAACAAAGAAACTACTCAAAATCTTTGGAGAGTATTGTATGTGCTAATGATTTAGATTTGACGGAATTATGGAGCCTGGATGTCATCGGTATAAGATGTCCTGCAGAAGTAAAGTCAAGGCAGGTAACCGATGAAGGTTTTTTCCGTACAACTATTAAAAGAAACGAAGACAAAATATATGAAGTATGTTTGCCATGGAAAAGTGGACGTACAGAATTAGAAACGAATAAAGAATTAGCCACTAAACGGTTAATGTCAACCACCAAAAATCTCATACGATCTGGACATTTAAGAAAATATGATAATGTGTTTAATGAGTGGATTCGGGATGGAATTATTGAAATTGTAGATAAAGAGGAGAAAAAGGGACACTATTTACCACATCATCCTGTGATAAAAACTAGTGTAACAACAAAAATTCGTCCGGTTTTTGATGCGTCGACGAAAGATTCCAAAGGAAATTCCTTGACTAATTATTTATTAAAAGGGCCAAATTTATTAGAGTTAGTACCCAAATTGATAATGCAATTGGCGTAACATCAGACATAAAAAAAGTATTTTTACAAATCAGTTTGAATCCAGAGGATAGGGAATATTTAAAATTTTTACGGTGGAAAGACTTATCAAGACGAGAAGAAATAATCCCTCTCCGACATTGTAGAGTGGTGTTTGGTGCTTCTCCTGGTCCATTTTTACTAGAAGCAACTATAGCTTACCATCTAAAGAACACTTCGGATGAAAGTATGCAAACAGCTTGTCGACTCAAAGAATCTTTTTATGTGGACAACTGTATTACAGAAGTTTTTAATATGGCTTTAAGAAGATTCTTTGCTCGAAGAGGTAGAGTAAATATAATTTACACTGACAACGTACAAACTTCATTGGTTCAAGCAATGCTCTAAGAAATTTAGATCGGGAGAAGACCGTGTCGTTTTCCACTATCAAAAAAATTAAATCGAATTTTAACCCTCCAACTGCCGCCTGGTGGGGAGGATGGTGGGAGCGCATGGTTAGAATGTTGAAAGAGATGCTAAAAATAATTTTGGGCAAGGAAAAATCTTGACTCTGAAGAGTTGGAAACTATTCTATGTGACTGCGAAGCCTCAATAAACTATAGGCCTCTTACATATATTGAAGACAATTCGGAAGGTCTGAAGCCAGTAACTCCCGCTTGTTTCTTACAAAGTATTCTTAGCAGTGAAACAACTAATTTAGACGAAATCGACAGTAGAAGCCTAAATATAAGATTGTGTTTTGTGCAAAATTTGAAACAGGATTTAATAATGAGATTTCGGAATGAGTATTTAGCAATGTTGATTCATAAAGTTAAGAGCCTGGAAGAATCTTTAAAAGTTGGGGGGGGGTCGTTCTTTTAGAAACTGATGGCAAGCGTATCAACTGGCCTTTAGGAATTGTCATTGAAGTTTTTTCTGGAGCAGATGGGCACTCAAGAGTTGCCAGAGTGAGAACAGCTGGTAGAGAGAAGTTGAGACCATTCCAAAGACTTTATCCTTTAGAAATCAACTGTTCGGAAAAGTTACCATTCATTGCCCAAAATGCTCAAAGGGATGAAAGTGCCTCTACGCTCTGCAGGCTAATGATTCAGATTCCAGTGAAGATGATGAATCATCACCCAAAGTCCCAGATTTTGTTACTAGAGCTGGACGACGTGTTAAAATTCCCAATAGACTTGATTTATAACTTTTGTTGCAATTTATAGGTATCCTACATTGCAAGGTGGGAGGTTGTTTGAGTAATACCACCTACAACTCTGTTTAAGTTTTTTATGTTTTAAAAATAACCTCTATCGTTTCTGTAAGAATAATTGCTTTGTAAATATCTGCAATTAAAGTGCATTTTTCATATTAATCCATAATGAAAAGGAAGAATATGAGATTGTTTTAAGACAATTACTATGGAATTAAGATAATGTAAGCATGATCGTAAATTATCTGTTGTTATTAGACAGACTACTTACTGAGAAACGGCAGCAGCTAGTTCTGGTTGTCGTTATTTTTCATCCTAAAAGATATAAGCATGCACAGTGCAGAGAGAACGTATATCATGATACGTACGTTTAAGACTACGTTACACGTAGGCCTAATAAGTTACGAATACATTTTATCTTTGTCTTTTAGTAAATGTTTATTTCTTTTCAAAAACGCATTATGAATGATTAAGTTTAATACAGAAGAAGCTAATTGAAATCAGAAGAGGGATAACAGTGGGTCTACATTAAAATACGGAAACAGACATTTATTCCATGTCGAAGTTTGACTAAATCAATTTTAAAAGTTTCAGGTGCGTAGAAGTAGTTGAAAATTACCTTTTTATATGTGTAATGATTATATTTTATTATTCCTGAAAATTGAACGAAGGTATTTTCGGTATTCCGGTTTGACTAGAAACTTTCACTCTGCCGATGTTCCGGTTTGATTAGAAACAAACTTTTCTCTGCTTCAGAATGGCAGCAGTGAGAACTTGACTTTCGATTTGTTATGACGCAGCTAGAACGCTGCTCCTGAGATGTAACATTAGATTCGACTCTAGATTCTAGATTAGATTAATTTTAGTATTTGATAAATCTTTTAAACTAGATGAGTATTTGATCATAGAATATAGCTGAACATCGCTTTCAGAAATTTTAGATGTGGCATTTGGATACGTCGTTAGATGTTAGAATGCGTAGGCAGCGACATTCGTGATTCGAATAGTGTACATTAGGCGTACATAAACATTTTTTGGTTATGCGGGAGGCGGCTAATATTCGACAATATGGATTCGTAAGTATGGATGCACGGGTGAGTGTGCGAAGCCTGCAAAGGTAGGATAGTTTTC